AAAATTAAACTTAAAAGCTTTTGCACAGCAAAGGAAACCATAGACAAAACAAAAAGACAACTTACGGACTGGGAGAAGATATTTGCAAACGATGCTACCAACAAGGGATTAACTTCCAGAATATACAAACAGCTCATACAGCTTAATATCTAAAAAACAACCCAATTAAAAAAAATGGGCAGAAGACCTAAACAGACATTTCTCCAAAGAGGACATACAGAGGGCCAACAGTCACATGAAAAGATGCTCAACATCACTAATTATTAGTGAAATGCAAATCAAAACTATAATGAGGTATCACCTCACACCAGTCATTACGGCCATCATTAAAAAGTCTACAAATAATAAATGCTGGAGAGGGTGTGGAGAAAAAGGAACCCTCCTACACTGTTAGCAGGAATGTAAATTGGCACAGCCACTATGGAGAACAGTATGGAGGTTCTTTAAAAAACTAAAAATAGAGTTACCATATGATCCAGCAATCCCATTCCTGGGCATATATTTGGAGAAAACTCTAACTCAAAAAGATACATGCACCCCGATGTTCACAGCAGCATTATTTATAATAGCCAAAGACATGGACACAATCTAAATGTCCACCAATGGAAGAATGGGTAAAGAAGATGTGGGGGGTGTGTGTGTGTGTATGTATAGAATTTTAAAAATATATTTATTTTTAAATTTATTTTGGCTGCACCGGGTCTTAGCTGTGGCACGCGGGATCTTCATTGTGGCATGTGGGATCTTTTAGTTGTGGCATGCAGGCTTTTTAGTTGTGGCATGCGGGCTTCTTAGCTGTGGCATGCGGACTTCTTAGTTGCAGCATGCATGCAGGATCTAGTTCCCTGACCAGGGATCGAACCCATGCCACCTGCATTGGGAGTGTGGAGACTTATCCACTGGACCACCAGGGAATATTATATATTATACTAATATTATATATTCCATATATATATATAATGGAATATTACTCAGCCATAAAAAATAATGCCATTTGCAGCAACATGGATGGACCTAGAGATTACCATACTAAGTGAAGTCAGAGAAAGACAAATATCATATGATATCACTTATATGTGGAATCTTAAAAAATGATACAAATGAACTTATTTACAAAACAGAAATAGACTCACAACTAAAGAAAACAAACTTATGGTTACCAAAGGGGAAAGGGGGGGAGGGAAATTTGGGATTTATCGACAGAGATTACTATATATGAAATAGATAAACAACAAGGACCTGCTGTATAGCACAGGGAACTATACTCAGTATCTTGTAATAATCTATATTGGAAAATAATCTGAAAAAGAATGTATATGTATATGTATAACTGAATCAATTTGCCAGACACCTGACACATGGTAACTCAACTATACTTCTATAAGAAAAATTAAAAATTAAAAAGAAAAAAGGTGGGGCTTCCTTGGTGGCGCAGTGGTTGAGAATCTGCCTGCTAATGCAGGGGACACGGGTTCAAGCCCTGGTCTGGGAGGATCCCATATGCCGCAGGGCAACTAGGCCCGTGAGCCACAACTACTGAGCCTGCACATCTGGAGCCTGTGCTCCGCAACAAGAGAGGCTGCGATAGTGAGAGGCCCACACACCGCGATGAAGAGTGGCCCCCACTTGCCACAACTAGAGAAAGCCCTCGCACAGAATCAAAGACCCAACACAGCAAAAATAAATTAATTAATAAACTCCTACCCCCAACATCCAAAAAAAAAAAAAAAAAAACTTTAAAAAAGAAAAAAGCTAGGCAATGGTTTCCTATTGCCTTTAGGGTGAAGTCCACACTCCTTAACATGGTGTACAAGACCTTCAGGACATGGTCCCTGCTGGAATCACCTTGTAAAGAGATATCTTGTTTACATATTTCTCTATGCTTAGTAGGAGGAACTCCTAAAGGGTGTATTTATGGCTGAGATCCAGCACGGAGCAGAACATAAGGAGTTAATAAATGTTTGTTAAATCAAATTCAGAAAATCTTTAATGGATAAGCAGTATCAGGGCTGACTACTGGAAAGTGAACTTAAGAACAGGCACCAAATGCTTTTTATTCCTTCCTCATTAGCTTAGGAATTCTTTTGCTCTATCTTTTTAAAATTAACTTATTACAAGGATAAGATAGGCTTATTACGAAAACGACTCAAACATTACAAACAGGCAATCAGTAAAAAGACCCCCACCCTTCATACCACTGTCCCTCCTGTCCCAGCACTGTTAACCATTCATATATCCTTCCAGAAATATTATCTGCACACACAGTCATGCTAATATACATTATTACTACTATTATTATTAGCATTACTTAACATAAAAAGAATATTAAGTACTCATTTACGTATCAATTTTTTTCATATAATCTTGGTTATTTTTCCATAGCAGTATATATGGATCTTCCTCATTTTTTAAAGGTCTGCGTTGTATTCAATTCAATTACAAGGCTCTACCATACTTTCTTCAAACAGTTCATTATTGATGGACATGTAGGTTATTTCCAGCTTGAGGCCATTCTATCAGGAATCTTGTAGGATCTTAGTTCCCTGACCAGGGATCAAACCCGGGCCCTTGGCAGTGAAAGCGTGGAGTCCCAACCACTGGATTGCCAGGGAATTCCGGAGGCCATTTTAAACAATGCTGCATTTACAGAAGAAAATTAAATGTAAATCTCACCAACAACATACCCTACATGTTATGAAACAGCTGAAAGATGGTTTCTAGTTGTAGTTTCAATCCATGTCTTGTTATGAATGAAGGTGAGCATCTTTTTATACATAGAATAATTTGTATTTCTTTTTTGTAATTTATCTGTTCTTGAGTTTGGTCATTTTTCTATTGCATTGTTGGTCGTTAAACCAGCCCTTTTTTTGTGATATGTATTGTAATTATTCTTTCCCAGTTTGTCTTTTGATTTTGTTTATGGTACCTTATTTTTTGTCTTAGAGAAATTCATATATTTGTATTTATCAATTTTTTAAATTCTTCTAGGTTTGGGGTTATATTGCACTCAGTTTATTAAATAACTTCATCACGTTTTATGTTAGTGCTTTTCCTGGTTTTATTTTTATACCTGTATTTTCTTCATCCGGAATATACTTTTGTAAAAGGAGTGAAGTGGGAATTTTATCCCAGAACCACTGATAATGAACATTCTTCCTCTTCTACACTAATTTGAAATGCCACTTTTATCATTGTTAGTGAGAGTAAAATGGATACAATCTCTATGAGAGCAATTTGGCAGTATCTATCAAAGAATGCACAAATAAACCTTTGACACAGCAATTCAACTTCCTAGGAATCTATCCTACAGATACGTTTGCACTTGTGTACAATGATGTAAGAATAAGGATGTTCACTGAAACATTGTAACAGGAAAATACTGGACACTTAAATGACCAACTATTGGGGACTATTAAATCATTAGGTACAATGGAACAAGGCAGCTCTATTGTATTAATAAGTGAACTAGCAAGCATAATATACTACCAATCGTAATGCTATATCACCTATATCAGTAACATCAACAAACATAAAGAAAGAGAATAGATATAGAAATGCTGACATGTGCATAAAATAAATCTGAAAATACTTCCAAGAAACCATTTTCACTGATGGCTTATAGAGAATTGAAAGGCTGGGATATAGGAAGAACAAGGATGTTTACTTTTCCCTGTGCCTTTTTTGACAATTTTGGGTTTTGTATTTTTTGCATGAATTGTTTGTTACAATGAGTTTTTAAAATTTCATTCATTCATTCATTCGCCTTTAGAGAGGTGGAACTCTAACCTCGTGCAAAGCTATGAACTGTCAGGAGAAGAAGTACAAGATAGTCATCCCTGCCTAGAGCAGCTGACAAGCAGAGTGGACCTCGGGTCTCTTTGCACCAGAATCGTGGAGGAGGGGAGAGGGCGTTCTTATTCGAAAGTCAGATTCCTGGGCCCCACCTTGATCGACTGAATGAGAGTAACGCCCAGAAATCTGCATTTCTGACAGGATCCCACTGGGGATTCAAGTACATGTCAATTCGTAAGCCTTCTGGGCTGGAGGGGCAGCTCACTGTGTGGGCGCGTTTCCTCGTCCTTTGCTCACCCCTCCCTAGCAGCCACGCGCGCGCTCCTGGCGAGGGGCGTACCCCCGGGGCCTGGGGGCAGGTCTCCCAAAACACCCTAGACCCGGGCCTCCCCCGCGCTCTGCTCACGCTGAAACCGCAAGGCTTCGCTTCGCCGCCGCCCAGGCCGCTCTTCCCAGTTCCCGGCTCCGGCTCCGGAGTCTGCAGGGTCCAGGCCCAGAGCCACTGAGCCAGGGAAGCAGGGGGAAGGAGAGACTAGAGGTGCGAGCGGCTAGAGGTGAAAGAGCTGCAGAAGCCGAAGGCAGTGGGCAGATGATGCGAGGCCAGTTCAGCCCTTTAGGAAAATGAGAGAAATGACAAGTGTAGAAAATAAATTACGTACTGGGGGAAAAACTGCGACTCCGCCGGGACTCGAACCCGGAACCTTTGAATGCCTTCAACCTCTAGAAGTCCAATGCGCTATCCATTGCGCCACGGAGCCACCTGTTGGACTCTTTGCGCATCTGCTCTGTTAAGCCAGAGGCAACGGCCCCGCGCCCTTCCCACCGCCCCCTTAGCCGTCGGTCTGTATCGCAGAGGCCAGGACACTGACAGACACCGGCCGCAAGCGCCCGTCCTCACCCGGAGACCGCCTCTTAACGAAACCGGCGAGTCTTGCAAGCGAAGGGAGGGCGCGAGTCCGCCGGGTGCCGGCTGGTGCGTCTGAGGACAGCCGCAGCCCCGTCTCCGGCCCGCCCTGGGCACCGCCGTAACTGGCCGCTCAGGACAAATCACGCCCGCGCTCTTCCTCCCCAGCTCCCTTCCTGCCTGATCGCCCCCGCCTACCCGCTCTCCCGCGGCCGGTTCCGCCCGGCCTGGCCCCGCCCCGGCGATGCAGGCCCCAGGCTCGCCGTTGAGCCGTTAAGCCGGGCCGGTGACGCCGGGCACTTACGTCGCACCTTTTAGCGGCCGATCCCGAGCAGCGACACCTTGGACTTTGAGGCGTGGGCAGCGGCCCCTCCCGGGTCCCGGGCTCTTTCTTGGCCGCCCGCGGCCGGGATCCGCCGCGGCAAGCGCGGGTCGCGGCGACGTCTGTGTGAGTGCCTGTGCGTGTTTATTTGCGCGGGGTTCGGTAAAACGGTGTTTGGGTTGCATTTCGCTCCCCACAGACCCAGAGCCGAATTTCTGAGGTATCCGGGCTCTGGTGGACTGAGGGGGGCGACGCGCCCCGCGCTGCAGCATCCTCCGATACCTCATCCCAGCTCCGGCAACTGCCTCCGGGGGCGCCGCGCAGCAGCGGAGCCCGCGCGCCCGGAGCACGAGGCTGCGTGGGCGGCGCCGGTGAAGGGCCTGCGCGCGTGGGAGCGCCGGGAGCATGCGTGAGCGGGCGTGTGCGGTTGGGGGGCGCGCGCCCGAGCGTAGTCGCGTGGCTTTCCGGAGGCAGCCGGCATCCGAAGGAGGCGGCGCAGCCGGAGTCCGGACGAGCTCCCCGCTGCTCGAAAGGGCGCGGTCGCCACGAATCAGAGGGTCGGTCTGAGGGGGTATTTTTCAGTGCTCCTGTAATTCGCATCAGTAAGACCCCGAAGCCACTTGAAAGAGACGATGTAAGTAAAATCGCGTGGCTGCCTTGCAAACGCCTCTGCATGCAAAACTCTTGGTCCCCGCTCCAATCGGCTTGCGGTTTTCTGAGCCCCGCCTACGTAGAAATTGCGGAGCTGCTGCTGTGACCTGTGGTCCACTCCGTTCCACGCTGCCCAGCTACATCAGGCATCAAAGCAAAGCGGTCTCCGTCCGTGTTCTAAAGAGGGAAGGGAGCTCCCAGGAAGGGTCTAGTGGAGTCGGGATCTGTACATTCTTATTTAACTTCACCCCACAACAATGCTATGAGCCAGATACTATCGTCCTCTTTATAAGGAAGGGAAAATGCAGCTATAGGAGTTTGAATAACTTGTGTAGCGACACCTCCCTGGTGTGTCAAGAACTTTGAGGAATCTGCATTAGCCAGTGTCAACATGATCGTGTCGGTTCTCTGAACCCCAGTTCTCCCAGGAACGAAGCAGGTGGGCCCAGATGGATGCTTGCACACAAAATGGGTGGCATTATAGAAGAGGAATGCGGAGCTTGGGGGACCTACCAGTTTATAGCAAGCAGTAAGCAAGCCTGCTCTTTGTCCCACAGAGGGACATTCCCTCATCCCTCAAGGTTGCTCACTGCAAACACAACTCTGAAGAATGGCCCAAATGAGCAGGATCTTACATTCTTAGCACACTCAGCAAGAATGTGCAAGGATGCTAAGGGCCCACGTTCATTGCCTCTCCAAACAGTGGCAGAGCCCTGATTGATGCCAGGCATGTCTCTTTCATTCTACCATAATAAAGTTCCTTGACAGTAAGCATTTTATGTAAAACATTGTTATGCCCCCTTTAAGATTAATGAAATAAAACAAATACCCTCACATGCAGGAAGGAGGAATTCTGACATATACCAGATTAACCCTTAAAACAGAAAATGACTTCAAATTGTATTGGTTTAAACAAATCTTTTTTGAACTCTGAAATGTGTCAAGCACTAGTGGCATCTCAGAGTCTTCACTGGTCCTTGGAATTGCACATGGCTGAACAGGGGAGGAGTGATGCTTAATGCTTCCTTGGAATACCATACAAAGGAATTCTCCTGAGGGCACTGGAGCCAAATCTCAAATGATGAGTCATTGATATGATTAAGTAACAATTCAGACTCATATATAAAAGTTCTGGGAAGGGGGAATTGAGAAAGAAATCACATGCTAAGGAAAGATGCGTGTGTCCTTAATTCCACTTAATAAATCAAACAAAGAATTTTTAGATATTTGATTCCTTTCACTAGTTGAGATCAAAACGCCTTGTCTATGTCATGGAAAACATTACCAAGATATGGGGTTAGCAGACAGTGTGGGAAAACCAGGCTTGTGTGACCAACGCTGTGAGCAATCAAGGTGTACTTTTTACGCCTTACAATTAGAAGCCTGGGAAAGCCATGGCAGAACAAACTCTCTGTGTGTTCTCTGACAATTAATAAGTGGTTTGTAATGAGTCTGGCTTTAGAGGCAGCAATGGTAGTATGTAAAAGGAATAAAAATGTGTATTTAGTTACCATCTAAGGAGAAAGATCCAGTAGGTTTTCTCTTCCCCTTTCCTAAATCTAAGAGCTGAATTTTCTCAGGCAGTGCATGCCGTGAACAGCTGCCATCACACAACCTGAACCAAGAATTCCTGCAGGAAAAAAACACAAAAACAAAAAACAACACCTCTTCCTTTCTACCGACAGAGGGAACCAAAGCATGAACTATAACCGCCTGTGAGCGGGCTGATCGCTGCAGTTTGCAATTTGAGTTCCCTAAATTAAGCGCTACTTCATCTTGCTGTTTTAAAGTTCAAATCCATTATACACCTCTGGGAGTCTGCAATAACATTTTTCATGTTTGTACAGAAGGATTATTTTAAAATTTCTATGTTCTATTTGCAGAGCTTGGAAGCAGCTTCAGCCTTCCCCAGAAGCTCTAGAAATCTGTATTTCTATATATTTTTTATTTCTATATATTTCTATAATATTTTCACTTGCTTTGCTTTGCTCTAGAGGGAGAAGGTCGTTGGAGTACCAGTTTAATTCAATTCAATGAGTATTTAGGGAGGATACATTTGGGCCTACTGTGGGAGGTAAAAGTGGAAGTTTAAGACACAATCCCTACCTTCAAGGATACTTCAGATTCCTTGCAAGAAATACCTGTGAATATGAAACAATAAGCAAAATAATGCAAGATGACATATGAAAAAGTGTCAAAATGTGATTGGGGGTCCCTACCAGTAAAACATTGTTTAGTTTGCATTTCCAAGTAATAAGTATATAATAAATACTATACTAATTATCTTTTTAGAAAGAAATTTTTAAAGGATGAGATTTTTTTTAACATCTTTATTGGAGTATAATTGCTTTACAATGTTGTGTTAGCTTCTGCTGTAGAACAAAGTGAATCAGCTATACGTATACACATATCCCCATATCCCTTCCCTCTTGCGTCTCCCCCCCACCCTCCCTATCCCACCCCTCTAGGTGGTCACAAAGCACCGACCTGATCTCCCTGCGTGCTATGCGGCTGCTAAAGGATGAGATTTTTAAAAATCAAAGACTCTTGAGAGTAGAGGTTAGGAGCATAGGCTGTGGAGTCAGACTCCTGGTGTTCACATCTTGGTTCTGCCTCTAATTGTAAGGCATGATCTTTAACTTTTCTGAGCCTTCTTTTCCTCATCCAAAAAATCCTAAAGTTGTTACGATAGGAGTTAATCCTTGCAAGGGTTTCTCTCTGTTCTGGCACATGGTAAGTGTGTAGCAACTGTTTGTTGTTATTATTAGCAAGCAACTCTCAATAAAGAAATCTCACATCCTGCAGGAACAAACCAAAGTTCAGATATAGCATCAGTTAAGTTTGTTGCAACCCAAGAAACATTCTCCGCCTCCTTACCCAACTCCTACTCAACTATAGACATCACATCTACATAATGTACCAAACAGACCGCTCAGCTTCTCAGACTGAAAACATCTACCTCCAGCTTCATGGTTCCCTCACGGTTCTCCCCCCAGAACCTTGGGTGGATTCTTATTTTCATGTGTCCAACCGCGTGGTTTCCCAAAACAAGGGGAAAACAATCTTTCCCTGAAGGATTTGTGAAGACTCTTCTCTTGCCAGACAAAATCTGCTCATAACATTTGAATGACGGCTTTTTTCATCCTAAAAATCTTAGCGCTGAGTTTCAGCCAGGCCAATAACTAAACTAGGTGGCAAGATGGGAATAGGCGAAGGGAAAAAAAAAAGTGCCAGGATGAAGAAATTTCGATATTAACACAGAAAAGAGGGACAAATGGGTCCTGAAGAAAGTACAGCTGGGGTGAGGGGGTTGAAGTGTCAGGAGGTTGGGCAAGTCGGATTGAGGCCACATGTGGCAAAGGTGCTGGGGCAAGCTTGATTCAGGATGAGGCACGTGGATTTCATGCAATAGCCAATGGGGAGCTACAGTTTCTTTTGGCATGAGAATGGCTGTGTTTTAGAATGGTTCATGTAGGGGGGTGATATACAGGCTGAATGGAATGAGGCCTGAGGGTCGGGGAGACTGTTACATCTCATTGGATTTGTGCTTGGTCTTACGACTTCATCTCTTCAACAAGCAGTGATTGAGGGTCTAGTTGACATATCCATACAAAAGAAAAAGACATGTGCCTGGCCTACTGCCTAGTAGAAATGATGACACAGGTACACAAACAACTGTGGTGGAAGGTAAAAAGGTGTCCAAGTGAGACAGGCACAGTGGTTTGGGACTTCAGGGAGAGAGACTGAGATTACATCCTGAGAGGGCGAAGCAGGGAGGAAGACTGCATTTGGAAAAACTACCTAACCTAGGGCCAACTTGCATGCAAGGAATCCCAGGTAAGGGTTAGCAAACAGACTGGAGGGATGGAAGAAGAAGGTAAGACAGGGCTGGGGACATGGTAGCAGATGAGCAGTCCAGTGCACCGTGTCTAAAAGGCTCCAGCTAACTTGGCCTTGGTTGCAGCAGGCACTGGTGGAGAAGGTCACTGGGGTTCAGGGCACTGGTCACATAGTCAGGCTTGGATCAGTTCCGGTTCTGTGCCATCAGCCCATTCACAAGAGGGCAAGAATCACAGCTGAGGATAAACGGAACATGATCCAGTCCCCAAAGGGAAGGGTTTGAGAAGAGGTGGTTGAAAGTCTCGGACCAGTAGGCTGGTATTCAGAGAAGGGGGTCTAGTCACAAAGGGAAACTAAGGCAGAAGCAGGTGTACGGTGTCTGAGGCAGGCAGCACCAATGATTCCAGACCTCGTGGCTGGTTGACTAGGGCTGCTGAACAGGCTTCCAAGCCTGGAAGAGTTCAGGTAGGATATAGGACCATCCTGTAGGTGGCAGTCACTACCTGCTGTCGAGACGGCTAGACAAAGGCCAAACCTGGCCTGACCTGGATCTTCAAAGATGCACAGCCTTTGAGCCGGCAGAAAGCACATTTATGCATTTAAGCACTGAGCACAGTTAAATGCCAGGGTCTCTGCTGGTCTCTGGGGACACTGTGGTGAGGAAGACAAATGCGTTCCTTGCTCCCATGTACCCTGCAATCTTGAGCAAAGACAGGAGAGCGTGGATAGGTACATGGAAGTGAGCTTGACTTGCCAGGAGGTAACAGCTGAGAGAGTCAGTGGGAAAAAGATCCCGAAGGACTTTGAATGCAAGGCTATGGGGACCTGAAATTGATCAGCCCATGTCACCTCCTCCACGAGCTTTCCCAGACCACATTCTTCAGCCTGGTCTGCTGGTGGGGAGGGGCTCCTCTTCTGGGTTCCCAAAGCACCTTGGGAGTCATATAATTTTCTATCTGTTTTCTGTATCCTCTCCAAGACTATAAGCATCTTGGGGGGAAGGAACATGCCTTCCTGTGGGTAGATCACAGCAAGCGCCTTTAAATATTGGTTGAGTAAATGGATGAGTCCTGTAGGCAATCAGGAAGCTACTGGACCACGTGCCTAGCTTGTCCTTTTTTTTTTTTTTTTTTTTTGGCTATGCCATGTGACTTATGGGACCTTAGTTCCCCAACTGGGGATCAAACCCAGGCCCACAGCAGTGAAAGCGTGGAGTCCTAACCACTGGACCACCAGGGAATTCCCTAGCTTGTCTTTTTTAACCAGAAGTTCTAGAAAGCTAAACATCCTTGCTTTCTAATTTAGGCAATTCTCCCCAAGGCTTAGCACCATGTCCTGTACAGAGTGGGCAGTCCAGAAATGTTGCCTGAATGATCTTGTGGGAGTAGAAGTTGATCTTCGGTGTCTTAATTCTGCTTTCAATTACCCGGTTTGTGGGAGTAGGTCTTGAATTCCATCCACTCAGACCCACTTCTCTTCCTTCCAAGTTCTCGCCAAACAAAGGCATTTCCCCACTCCTGGCCCACAATGGATAACCATCTGTTAAAACTTAACTAATCTTAAGCCTTCAGCAGTCGAGAGTAATCATGAAGTAATAACGCATAGTGCCAGACGCTATACTGAGTTCTCCGTGAATACATGAATGTGCTCCATCCTTCTCTTGACCCCCTGAGGGAGCAGAGTCATTGCCCCTGTCCCGGGATGGGAAGGCGAGCCACAGAGAATGAAGCAGGATGGGTCCAGGTACCTGCCCCAAGTCCCCAGTTACCCTGCACTGCAGCTGCTTCTCCCAGGAAAGGGATCAGGAGGGAACCAGCAAGCAACTGGGAACAAGCCTGTTAGACCAGTGTCCTGAAACTCTGCCGCACACTAGAATCCTGATGCCCAGGATGTACCTGAGACCAATTAAAGCAGACTTTCTGGGGGTGGGGCCCTGGCATCATTATTTGTTTAACCATCCCAGGTGATTCTCATAAGCAAGCAAGTTTGAGAACAAGTGCTTTCTGCCCTTCCTGCTAAAATGCTGACCATGGCCCAGGAGCTTCAGCATCACCTGGGAGCCGGTTAGAAATGCAGGACCTCAGGCCCCACCCCTGCCCTGCTGAATCCAAATCTGCGTTTTAATAGATGTCCCAGGTGATTTATTTGCATTAAAGTTTCAGAAGCACTGGTTTGGGGCTTAGGTATTCAAACCCTTATTAATCCACTTGTCTTCTGTTATTAGCATTAAGTCCTTAAGCATTAAGTCCTTAATAAGCAGATCTCAAAACTCCATCAGAAAGCTCTGAATCAGGGCTTCCCTGGTGGCACAGTGGTTGAGAGTCCACCTGCTGATGCAGGGGACGCGGGTTCGTGCCCCAGTCCGGGAAGATTCCACATGCCGCGGAGCGGCTGGGCCTGTGAGCCGTGGCCGCTGAGCCTGCGCGTCCGGAGCCTGTGCCCCACAACGGGAGAGGCCACGACAGTGAGAGGCCCACGTACCGCAAAAAAAAAAAAAAAAAGCTCTGAATCAATCTGAGTTATTGGCCAAAAAAATGACCTCAGAGGAAACTATGCCTCCTTACTTCCCACTGTGCGGGGAACTGGGGAAGAAAAGGTCTATTGTTAGTGATGTCCCACAGAACCTCAGTCGAGTCCCCTCCAGAACAGCAGCAGAATCACTCCAGGCTGTCCTCCTCCGTCTGACATAGACTCAGGGACACAGGTAGACCACACCTGGGCTCCCAAGGTGACTGATAAAATCCTCCAGCCAGAGGTGTTCAAGCTTTCAGGGCTTCAACTGTTTCTCCATGGCATGACTGTGTCATAGCTCCACAAATGACACCAACAACCCTTTGTCCCAGTGGAGGTCTTGTGTGTCATCAACTTTCTGACTTTAACTAGAAACACTGTCCAATTTTTAGTTCTTTCGTTTATTTGCCATTATTTTAGAATGCCATTTGCTTCTCTTTTCATCTCTACCAAGTTCTTGAAACTGCTTCACAAGGTATGTAAGAATACGATTTTTGCAGGCAGTGGTAGTTTTCAAACCCTCATCTACTCCTCATCCTATGATCGTATAATCTCACCATTAGACCTGAGGCCGGTATCAGAACAGCCTGGTTCGCCTCTGTAGGTCGGTGGGGGGAGGAGGAGAAAGTCTCAGAGAGGCATGACTGTGTGGGGCAGCATGGTTTAGAGGGACTTGAAGGCAGTTGTAGGACCCTGGGAAATTACTTGACCTCTCGGAACCTATTTTCACAGCTCTGAGATGGAGAAAATCATTTCTGTTTCACAGGATTGTCGTGAGAATTAACTGAGCTGCTGACATACACTGACTGACAGTAAGGGGTATAATAGTTACCTGTGGCTGCGTTAGCTAATTATCCCAGACCTTAGCAGCTTGAATCCACAAAAATGTATTATTGCACAGTTTCTGTGGGTCAGGGAGCCGATTAGCTGAGTGGTTTACACTCAGGGTCTCTCTTGAAGCTGTTTGGGGCTATGATTACCTAAAGGTTTGACTGGGGAAGGAGGATCTGCTTCCAAGATGACTCACTCATATGGCTGTTGGCAGGAGGGCTCAGTTCCTCACCGCAGCCCTCTCTACAGGGCTGCATCCCCCAGAGTGAATGATCTAAGAGAGAAGTGGAAGCCACATGTCTTTTATGACCTAGCCGCAGAAGTCACATACCATCACTTCTGTGTTCTATTGGTCACACAGATCAACCCTAATACAATGTGGGAGGGGACTACACAAGGGTGTGAATAACAGGAGGTGGGTCCATCTGGGAGGCTGGCTTCCACAGCATCTTTAATGTTACTTTCTGCCCCCTCTTAATATGGCAGACATACTCTCCCTCCTCCACTCCAATCAACAAATATTCTGAAAAGGAAGACAGTTGAAGCGATTCAGTTTTGCTCTTCTCACACTAAGTTACTTTGACTGAGTTGGAAGCTTCCATCCTCATATCAGGTTTACAGTCATGACTCAGAAATTTGGGACTAGACTCAGAATTTATCCCAGTTCTTCTGAAGGACATGGAGATCCACTGGAATGGTCCTTGTTTTACTGTTCTTTGGTCCTTGTCCACTTTCCCCTTGAAAGAATCCACTCTATGCATTTTGTTATATCTTCAAGGTGTCAGGTAG